GAGGTCCGACCGCTTCATGAGGAGGCGAAAGATCCTCCAAGTTCAGACGGTGGAGGATGTGTCAGTGGATGTCCTCACAAAGATAGGGGTTCAAGGTGTGTGTGTGTGTGTGTGTGTGTGTGTGTGTGTGTGTGTGTGTGTGTGTGTGTGAGTGAGGCCCAGGGTTTGGGGGGAGGAGGAGGTTTGTTTTGTGATTCGAATGCAGAACTTGAGACTGGCTCTTACACTAATGTCCTCCCCTCTCTCCTCCCCCCCTCCCCTCTGCGTCCTCCCATCAGCCATCTGTGCGGCGGGCTGCAGCGAGGAACACGGATTCTGCGAGCTGCCCGGCGAGTGCGTGTGCCGGCAGGGCTGGCAGGGCGAGCGCTGCGACGAGTGCGCCCGCCACCCGGGCTGCCTGCACGGGACCTGCCAGCAGCCCTGGCAGTGCAACTGCAAGGAGGGCTGGGGAGGCCTGTACTGCAACCAAGGTGGGTTCAACCCGCGGGCCGGACACCTGGCGGCGGGTCAAAGGGTCGACCCGGTGCCGCCGCTTCTCTCTACCAGAGTAGAGAAGTTCTTACGAGCACACGCCAGCCAATACCTGTTAGCAACCAGCTAGCACTCGACTCCAGCTGCTCCGCGGACCAGCCAGTAGCGCACGACTAATTAAAATGTTAATGAGGAGCTTGATGACTGACTGGAAGCAACCATCTGGTTTCGTCCTCGTTTTCAGTTTATTTCAGTTAAAATCTTGACAAAGAAGCTGCAGAGTCTTTCTGCCGATGTTTCGTTAAAGCTGCATGAATGAAAAGTCGTAACAAGTGGAAGCTTCACCAGAAAGCTCCACGTCACCACCAACTCCTTCCTCTGTGTTTGTCTTCTGCTTTTAAATTCTTCATCCTCTTCGCTTTTGAAACTTCTTCTTGTCTGGAAATCCACTTGAATCGAAGATAATTCAACGATTAATTGACGCGGCTTCAACTAACCACTGAGTAAACATCAGGATTTAACAGCTTAAGCTGCTCTGAATGTGTTTAGAATCAGGTGGTATAATACTTGTCATACAACCCAACAGCAGCCTCGTCCCCGTGTTCCATTCCCACCCATGAAGTCTTTTTTTAAGCTCACGTTAATGTTCTCACACCCATGTAGAGCAGCGCTGCAGCTTTCTCTGAATTACAGCAAAAACAGTCGTCGAAATAAGGAAGTGAAAGGTTGAACACAGAACTAATGTCACGCACGGGTCAAGACGTTTGCAGCTGCTTGTTGGCGAAACACAAAAACATCAGCTGAACATGCAAAACGGAAATTTGTTGTAAAGTTGTTTATCGTCTGCGTACGTGGAAAATACGACCAGATGCCACAGAAAGGGTTGAATGTGAGTTTTATCGCTTCAAACCCAAAATGTTAAAAATAAATTCCTCTTTCTAGCCTCATCACGACATCAGCGTCACCATCAGGCTGATGTCTGTAGAATCAGGCAAGAATTTTCTGGCCTAAAATCGAAGAAAATAACTTTGACGGTAATAAAGTTTCTGAAAAGATCCACTTAGTTTCTGTCACTTTACATCACTGAGCTCCTTCTCTTCAGTCTGCAGCAGTGAAATGAACTCTACTGGCTCATTTCCTACATATTAAACCTCATAAACGTGCTACTTATCTGACCAGATGTTTCACGGTGTTCCACAGGGCTCTATACTCGGTCCTCCTATATTCTTCATATGTTTTCTTTCCTGTTTGTTCGAGGTTTTTATCTTCCCCAGAATATATTGCAATAATTATAGAGATTATTTTGGGGGCATTTTAAGCCGTTATTTGATAGTAACAGTGGAGAGAAACAAGAAATGTGGCAGGAAGGAGGGGAAAAAAGACATATTTTACACTATAGCCACTAATTTAGCATTAAATTAAACATACATTTAAATTTCTATCTTTGTTAGAATTAGTTGTAAATACAGTAGCGGCTTCTTAGAGCCTTTATCTGATCCGGAAACAACGCAAACAAGCTCATCAGTGTCCCGTTCTGATTTACGTTTTTCGTGTACGTTTTTATGGAGAAAGTTTTAGAGACTCCCTAGACGTTAGGCTCATTTTATAGATAAAAAACTCTTTGCAGCTGAGAAAAGGTGCATCTTGGAATTGACATTAAGGTAAAACACCATCAGTCACTACTTTCAGCTCAGTTACAGCAAATTAATCTGCCACAAAACACCTTCTTTTTTTATATTTAAAGCGCTGCACACACTAAATCTATCATATATTAATATGTAATAGTGCACAGATCACATGGGTGTAAGTTCCCTAAAGCTTTTCCCATCTGTCTACATGGCATCAAAAATGAACCCAAATATTGTGAAAACAAAGCAGCAAAGCTTTGACTGTATATGTGGTTTGTGTTTTTCAGAAGCTCTACTAAACTTTTTATTTTTCATTTCTTGAGACAGAAGTTGACGTTCAACAGCGTCGCATCTCGTCACTTAGTGCTCGTGATCATTCAGGACTCTGCAGGGAACCAGATGTTGAGGTTTTTGCAGGAAAATTATGGAGATAGTCTCCCGTTTGTTTAGAGACCAGCAGATGTTTGACTGTAGAGATGTCCAACCAGCACATCGCAGGAAGAAGCTCCAGTAACTGAGGATCTGGTGTTATGACCTCTCACTGTCCTCTGTTGTCGGTTCCTTGCAGACCTGAACTACTGCACCAACCACAAGCCCTGCCAGAACGAAGCCTCCTGCACCAACACGGGCCAGGGCAGCTACACCTGCACCTGCCGGCCCGGATTCACCGGCAAGAACTGCGAGATCGAGACCAACGAGTGCGACAGCAACCCCTGCAAGAACGGCGGCAGCTGCAAAGTGAGTCACGGAGATCCGTCCGATGAATCCGCAGCACCTTCGCGCTCGTCTTCGGGGGTTTGGTAATCTGCCGTTCCTGTCTTTGACCTTGTGTTTCCCCTGCAGGATCTGGTGAACGATTATTCGTGTGCGTGTCCTCAAGGCTTCTACAGGAAGAACTGCGAGATCAGCGACATGACCTGCGCAGACGAGCCGTGTTTCAACGGAGGGACCTGCATGGAGAAGTCGACCGGCGGCTACAGCTGCCGCTGCCCGCCGAGCTACACCGGCTCCAACTGTGAGAAGAGGATCGACCGGTGCAGCAGCAGCCCCTGTGCTAACGGTACGACTCCTCACGTACGCTAACCGTCCTGTGAGAGGTTCGATTCAGCTTCTTATTTTTAAAAACAGGCGATAGTTGATGAAAAATTACAAAAACAAAGATCAACACAAGGGTTGCAAAGTGTCTCGGTGGTTAGCACCGTCGCCTCACAGCTAGAAGGTCGCCGGTTCACGTCCCGGTGAGGACACCCGGGATCTTCCTGCGTGGAGTCTCCATGTTCTCCCCGTGCAGCGTGGGTTCTCTCCGGGTTCTCCGGCTTCCTCCCACAGTCCAGAAACATGCTGAGGTTAATTGGTGATTCTAAATTGTCTGTAGGTGTGAATGTGAGTGTGCTTGGTTGTCTGTCTCTAAGTGTAGCCCTGTGATAGACTGGTTACCTGTCCAGGTGAACCTGCCTTCACCCTGAGTCAGCTGGGATAGACTCCAGCCCCCCATGACCCTGGTGAGGATGAAGGTGTAGAGATGATGGATGGAAGCTCGGTTGTGGAGATTTTGTAAACCTTTCATCTGTTTTTGCAGCAACAACCCAAATCCTGGCGCGGCTGGTTCGGTGTTGAGAGGAACTCTGTGAAATCCAAACACATCGATGTGCTTTTTGAATCTCGGCGTCAGACTTCAGCTGTTGATGCGTCTGCACTCTGTCCAGGTGTTTGATGAGATGTTTCCGACTGCAGCTGATGTTTCTCTTTCTGTACTAGCAGCAGATGTAGGATGGAGGAAACACCTTTTTTAGAAGGTGGCTCCACTTCCTGACGACTGAGGCGTCGGGTGTTTGGACTCTTGAACGCTACGGAGTCGAGGCTTTCGCCGTTGGCTGGAAACCCGCGATGCTTCTCTCCGCTGTCGGTGGACGTGAACTCGATCCACCTGCACGTACTGTTCTTCTTGCTTTTCCGTCTCCTGCGGGTTGTTTCTGTGCAGCTCGGCGGCTCTGTGACGAACGTATCTGCATGATCCTGAAGGCCAGATCATCTCGTAGTCAATCATTAGCGTAAACGCTGCTGTAAAACCGTCAGACTGTTTGGAAGAACGCAGCGGGGTGATGATTAAATGATGCCACAGGAAACAGAGCGACATCGGACGTTTACAAGCTGCCCTCGCTGCAGCGCTCTAACCTGGACGAAGGCTTTTCTTTTTATGGCGCCTTCAGGAATAGAAACCTTCAGAGCGGCTGCAGCTGCGTTTCTTCTGAGTCGGCAACCGGCTTTTCGAGTTGGTTTGATGCTAAATTAGCTGCATCGGATAAAAGAATGCATCGCTGTGTATCGTCTCCATAAATACTGACGTTTATTGAGTCTCTTAAAAGAGATTCGGTGCAGCTCAGGTCAACAACAAGCAGCAGAATCAGCATCTGGATTCGTTTTTACTCTCAACTGGAGCAGCTTACAGAAACAGCACGGCATGCTAAAGAGAGATGCGTGTGCTGCTTTGACCTGTGACTTTCTAACTCGTGATTAATGATTAAATGAAGCCGCTTGCTGGTAGCTTGTTATTACAGCTGTAGCACCATTATGAAACGATAGCGTCGGTGTTGCAGCAGATCCATGAAGGTGAACGACCTCAATGTCAGCGAGTGAAATCACATAGAAACCGCTTCCAGTAACAGTTTGTGTCCCGTAGATTTTTTGCTCTTTTGCTTTATTTGAAGAGTTCTCAGATCATTTTACGACAGCTTTAAGCCCCTGATTTGAAACTCCTTCCATGCGTTTGTGTGCAAAGCATCTGGAAGCACTTTCACACCAGAACCGGAGAATGTAAACGTGGCTGAAGAATCCGGGACACAAACATTTACAGTCTAGATCTGATTCATTAATGCTGCTGCTGCTGCTGAATGTCGACTCCGTTTATTCAGATTTAACTGCAGTAAAAGCAGCCGGCGGCTTCGTCCTGCGTCCGTCTTCCTTCTGCATGTACATGTACGCCTCAGAGGGAGAGCTTTGGATGTGACAGAACATGAATTGGGCGATCAGGCATGACCTGGATCTTTCAGAGTTTGTGTTTCAGATGACGAAGCGTGACAAAGTGTGTTACTGAAGACAAATTGCACCACATTGGAGCTTCTCCTTCACATGTGGGTGCAGATTTTTGATGCAACATGAGGGACGTTAGCGGTCCGACCTTTGAGTTCTGCCTCCCAGCGTTTCTGCACAAACATGTTTCCTTTTAAACTTGTTGATTTCGGCCCTAAAAGCTCACCTCTGTGTCAGAGGTACATATTTAGAAGTATTGTCCATTAAAAAGGCCTTAAAATGTGCAGAGCTGTGAACTTCTCTTCCTTCTCGCTGCAGCTTGAGCACACCAGCTCACCTGCACGTCTGCTAGAACTACCAGAACCGAATAATAACGATACAGAGACCTGCCAGCTCTTAGTCTGCTGAACAATGGAAGTCTGAATCTGCGTTTTGTGCGGTTTCGAGGCATTTTTATGTTTCTAGTGATGAAAAAACCCCACGTTGATGCTTTTTACTGGATTTGTGTGTCAGATGACAGATAAACTCCTGCGCTGTCACGCAGCAGCTTCTCAACATGTCTTATCACATCGTCGTCCTTGTTGTCGTAAACAGACCTACCTGTTTGCCGCCGTCGCTCTGGTTAGGAATCCATTTCTGGCAGCGCCTCTCAGCCAGATGGAGCCTTTCAGCATCGCGCTGATCCACGGCTCATTTCTTCTTGGAAATGCGCACAACATGGCGTTGCGATTGTAAAACCGCTTGCTGTGGCACGCAAGTGTCTGCAGACCCAGAGTGTGTTTGTGAAGCTTCGGCCGGATGTTTCTGCATCGGTTCCTGAAGCACACCTCTGGCTTGTTGAGCTTCCTTCTTCCAGGCTTTTATTCTCACGTTTGAAACCTGCTGCAGAATGAATTCATCGTAGTCGACACCCAGAGACGAAAAAGTTCACATTGTTCAGTGTTTTTGAAGCAGCTCATGCTGTGCATTGTTAGAAATGTCACGCAAAGAGCACCAAACCAAACTTTATGACACTTGGCAGAGACGTGAAGAAGAACGGGTGAAGCTGTGGTGCAGATCGGAGCTTCTTATGAGGACGGATCGTAACACAGAGCATCGACCTCCGATGTGTTTACTGTCTGTTTATCTGCTGCAAGTTTCAAGTCTCTGCAAGTTGGTTTCTTTTTCTTTTTTTTTCACATCGTTGTGGCATGAAGTGCCGACACACACAGAGGCCTTAAAAATGATTTAAAGGAAAGCGCTGTGGAGCATTAGGGAGGTTTTTGACACCGCTGAGTTTGGAAATTCTGCTTATTGGCATGTGCAGATCTTATCGGGACGCAGCGATGCTTGTCGGGGAAATAGGATGCGCCGAGACTCTCAGGGTTTGCGACGGTTTCGTGGAAGCGAGAGGAGACGAGCAATCAGGATCAGACGGCTCCACGGCCACAGCTGGCATCACAAAACAAAACCATATCTCCAAATATTACAATTAGCGTGGAGCTGTGGAGCCGGCCGGCCTCCCTCAGGTCCTCATTAGCGTGCAGAGACGGCTGCCTGCTTATCTTCAATCTGCAGTCATTCCTGAGCCTCAGTCAGCCTGACCGGAGAGAAACATCTCGGCCGAAGCTCCGCTCTGTTTGCGGTGTTGCAACACAGCAGCCAAATATGGAGCTGTTTGTGAGGCCTGCAGCTCCGGAGCCGAACCCAGAGTGAACCCTCACGTTGTGGCGTCCGCATCAGTTTCAGTCTTCGGCTTTTTGTTCCCTCCGCTGTCCAGTTTACAAGCTTTAATAAACTTCACTCAGTAATCCGTGAGGCTGTTTGGTTTGCGTCTTTTCCTCAAGGTTTGCTTCCTCAGTGAGGTTCGCTGCTCACGGCCTCCATGTGACTCCGTCTCTCCGGTGGTGGAAAACAAGCATGTTTCTAATCACGCCCACGACTTCGCTGATGAGTGGCATCTGTTGTGAGGAAACGTTGTAATAAACAAGTTTTTTCACTTCCCCCTGTTGTCCAGATGGAGTCTTATGCTGTGACCTATTTCTTCTCTCTGGAAAAATTAAGAAGCGCTGAGGAGATATTTCTTGTTTTTCTGCGACCTCGGCCTCGTGCTTTCGCGTTAATGCGATAACGAACCCTCGTTTTAGTTCATCTGTGTTTGAAAAGCTGGTTTTCAGCTCTTAGTTGTGATGTTTCTAGTCTGAAAGCTGTGCCTTTGAGAGATTGATAGAAGATTTTAGAAACCCTCTGGCGTCCCTCAGGGCTCCGTCCTGGGTGCCCTGTTATTTAGTTTGTTTGTTGCTGCTGTTGCTGAAAATGAATGCAGTTTCCAGTTTTTCAACACAATATTGGTTATTTTCAGAGGACACTGTCTTCTCTTTAATGCATGTATGCTTTGAGAATGCAGCAGAGAGTCTCTATGTTCATCTCACTTGTTTTTCCAACATTTGTCCTGCTCAGCGTCTGTTCATGAGCCTGTGAGGCGGAGCTGAGGGCATCAAAACCCCAAAGAAGAAGGATTTACTCAGATTACAAACATTTCTACCCCGTTTGAGGACTTTTTCTTTTGATTCTTGTGATCCAGATCATGAATTAGAGCGTAAACATGACTCGTCTTTTGTTGCGTGAACTTTCCACTCATGTTACTCGCTCAAACCCTCCTTTTTCTTTTCCTCGCAGGTGCTCAGTGTTTGGACCACGGTAACCGGGTCACGTGTCGCTGCCGGCCGGGCTTCTCCGGCTCTCGCTGCGAGACCAACATCGACGACTGCGCCAGCAATCCGTGTCGCAACGCCGGCACCTGCGTCGACGGCGTCAACGACTTCACCTGCACCTGCACCCTCGGCTTCACCAGCAAGGACTGCTCGGTGCGCACCAGCCCCTGCGACCACTTCCCCTGCGACAACGGCGGCACCTGCTTCACCCACTTCACCGGGCCGGTCTGTCAGTGTCCAAAGGGCTTCATGGGCGCCCGCTGCGAGTACTCGGTCGCCATATCGACCGTGCAACCCCCGCGGGACGACGACGCCCCTCCGGCGCTGATCGCCGCCGTCGCTCTTGGTTTGGTGACGCTGTCGCTGCTGCTTTGCGCCGCCGTCCACATCCTGCGGCAGCTCCGGCGGAGTCGGGAGCTGGCGGCGCTCTCCACATCGGTGAAGAACGACCTGGAGACGGTGAACAACCGTAACGCCGTGATCGGAGGAGGAGGACCGAACAACGGGGTCTTACCCGGGGCGCCGCTGGGCAGCCTGAAGGAGAAGGAGGCGCTACTCATCCCCGGAGGTCACCTCAAAGTGTCCAATAAGGACGCGGCGCTGGTGGACAAGGGCGGCGACAACGTGTCCATGTTTAAAAACAAAATGGCCGACTGTAACCTGGCGAAGGAGGAGCAGCGTCTGGACAAGAACAAGTTTGACCTGTAAGGATTTGATGGTTGGATGGTTATCTGTGTGTGTTTTCATGCCTTCTGCCTTCACTTTTCCTCTCATGTCAGACGAGTTGCAGCAGGTTTGTCGTGTTATCTCCCATCAGCCGGCGTCTTTCTCAACTGTTTCTGTCCCAGTGTTTGATGCCGCCGCCGCCGTGACCAACCGCCTCTCTCCTCTTTCTCTAACAGTAAGAAATGTGACTCTCCCGTCATCGTCCCTCCTCTCAGTTTTGCAAAGGAAAGCCTGTATCACTCAGTGTTCATCATCCCGGAGCAGATGGAGCAGTGTGTGTTTGCTACTGAGGTGAGGATCCACCAACACGAGCGTTTATTACCAGAAACTAGTCGCGCCTCCAGCTGGTTACATCAGCTTTTATTATTGTGTGGATGGAAGTGGAGGCAGAGGTCGAAACGTGTTCAAAGTTCAAAACTCTGAACTCTTAAAAGGCTTCTTTAAACTCCCGTTATGTATTAAGGACACTGAACTTCAAATTTTAATTTTAAACATGTTCAAGTTTTTCCAGATTTAAAGCTCATGTGGCTCCTTCTGTACATTTAAGACTTAAGTTTACTGATCCCTCACCAGGAAATATACAACCTACCTGTATATTTATATCCATCTAGGACCTGGATGTCAGCACTTCTGAAGAACTTGAATTGGTGAATCTAAACATTATAAATCACTTTGAAATATTTTGAAAAGATGTTGAATTGGTTTTTCAACCCATTAGCACAAGATTCAACATGAGCATGTACAACATGAGCAACAACGCAAAAATGATTCAAAACTGGATCACGACTTCAGTGTTGCCTCACTTCTTATTTGAACAGTAGGTATTTGCTCTTATTTCAAATTACAAACAGACTCCAGAGCAGGAACTCGATGCAACTAAAGACCTTTTTCTCATGATTGTCCACCTTTAAGTTTGATGACAGACTCAGTCCTCAAACGTTCTACCACTCTTCAGAGACTATGTTTTGCAGATAATGTTCACTGGACTGGTTCTGTTGTTCTGTTCTTCCCTTTAAAATACCCCAAAGGTGTTCCGTTGCATTCAGGTCAGGTGGCATACATGTCCAGGTCGTAGTTTTCACTGTGTTCTTCTGTAGAAACTCTTCACTTTGGACAGTTCTCCTGCTGGAATGTTCCTCTTCTTCAAGCTTCTGCAGACTGAGAGGCATCTGGTCAGCCAGTGCTCTGGTTTCTCCTCAGACATTCATCTAGAAACGTCATCAACACCTTCTGCCCTCATGCAGCCCCACGTCATGATGCTGCCACCTCCGTGCTTCACTGTCAGGACCATGCATCCACTGTAGTGGTCCTGGTCAGGTTCACACCAAACATCTGGACTCCATCTGAGCCCAACACATTAATCTTCATCTGACCAAAGAGTTTTTCCAACATTAATTAAGCTTCTTTTCATGTTCTTTAGCAAACTTTAATCCGGAAGTTTGCGGCAAACAAGGCTTTTAGTTCTGGTCCTCCGTCCATAGAGGTTGATGTTCTGAAGTGTCCTTCAACTGTCTGAGCTTCACACCAACTCTGGTTTCCATTGGTAACCCCTGTGCCAAGTCTGAAGCAGCTGCCTTTGTCTGGTGTTCACAGCTGTTCTGGTAGATTAATGGTAGCAGCTGGACTTGCTTGAGTTCCTTGAAGACGTTCCACCTCTCATCCAAGAGGCTTCATCAGCTCTGACTGACTAGTTGGGAGTTCCAGATACTTATATCCTTAAGGAGCCGTTAACACCTGAGTTTCGGTTTCACTTGGGGGTTGTTACTCCTCCCTCTCGTTAGGTGAGTCGTTAGTGCTCCCCCTGACACAAAGGGGTTCAGCAGCTCCATAGTGAGAGGAGTTGACTGTCCGTGGAGTCATTTTAGGACAAAGTCTCTGCAATCAGTAACCAGTTCTCTGAGTCTGACCAACTCACTGTCCAGCTTCCAGCTCTTAGGGCCACGTTCTCCTCATTTTCCCCTCTGACTGAGCAGGAAGTCTCCAAGCTATTGCTGGACTCTGGTCCTACTGTCTGTCCACTGGACCCGATACCATGCAACCTCTTACCAACCATTTCCTCGGCACTTATCCCTGCAGTAACACATCATCAACTCCTCACTTGCTACGGGTGTGTTCCTGTATTTAAGCAAGCTTGAGTCATTCCAATACTCAAAACATCTACACTCAACCCGGCCCAGGTTGAAAACTACAGACCAGTTTCACTCCTGCCCTTCCTGTCTAAAATACTGGAGCAAACTGTCTTCAACCGAGTCTCTACTTTCTTCTGTGACAACAGCCTGTATGACCCGTATCAGTCTGGTTCTAAACGGGGTCACTCTACCAGACTGCACTCCTCTCTGTAACAGAACCACTGGGTTCTGCTGGAGCTGCTGGAAAGTCTTCAGCTCTGTTGCTGTTAGATCTGTCAGCTGCCTTTGACACGGTGACCCACCACATCCTCCTCTCCACACTCACTGAGCTGGACATCTCAGGATCTGTCCTCCGCTGGTTCATGTCCTACCTCTCAGAAGATACTTCAGAGTATCCTGGAGGGGAGAAGTGTCAGAACCGCACAGCCTATCCACAGGGGTTCCTCAAGGGTCAGTGCTTGGTCCCCTTCTCTTCTCGATTTACACAACCTCACTCGGTGCAATAATCCAGGCCCATGGTTTCTCATACCATTGCTATGCTGATGATACCCAGCTCTTCCTGTTGTTCCCCCCGGAGGACCACACGGTCTCTGCTCGGATCTCATCATGCCTTGCAGACATCTCGGCATGGATGAAAAAAACGTCACCTTCAGCTCAACCTCTGTAAGACTGAGCTCCTTGTCATCCCAGCCAGTCCCTCTCTACAACAAGAAATCAACATCCAGCTTGATTCAACCCACCTCACACCCACTAAATCTGCCAGAAACTTGGGCGTCATGATTGATGACCAGCTGACCTTCAAGGCTCATGTGGCCTCTGTTGCTCGGTGGTGTTGATTCGTCCTGTACAGCATCAGGAAGATCAGACCTTTCCTGTCTGAACATGCAGCACAACTGCTGGTCCAAGCTCTCATCATATCATCGACTACTGCAGCTCCTTACTGGCAGGCCTCCTGCATCCACGCTCAGACCTTTACAGATGATCCAGAACCAGCAACACGTCTGGTTTTCAACCAGCCAAAAAAAGCTCATGTCACTGTTCAGATCGCTTCACTGGCTTCCAGTTGCTGCCTGCATCAAATTCAAAACCCTGAAACTTGTTTACAAAACCACAACGAGAACATCTCCCTCCTACCTGAACTCTCTCCTTCAGGTCTATACTCCGTCTGCTCACTATGCTCGACCAACCAAAGCCTCCTGATCCAACCACGGCAACAGGGCCGAGGTCCATAACTAGACTCTTCTCCTCTGTGGTTCCCTGGTGGTGGAACGAGTTACCAAACTCTGTTCCATCTGCTGACTCACTCTCAGTCTTTAAGAAAAGACTAAAGAACAGCTCTTCACTGAACAACTTTGCACTTGACAGACTGAAAACAAACAAACAAAAAAATAAAAGAAAATCCTATCACCTCCCGACAGCCTGCTGTTGGCATCAACGCCCTGTCACACTTGAATTTGTTCTATGGCACTTATCTAGATTGTTTTCTTCTGACTAGATCCTTGCTTGTGTTGGATCTGCTCTCAGATGTACGTTGCTTTGGATAAAAGCGTCTGCTGAACGAAACTGTAGAATGGTAGGAGGATGGCTTCCTCTAGACCTCCTGATTACTGCTCACATTGGGCTTCACTGGTTTTTAGTTGATCTTCCAGAATCCTTTTCCATTTTATTTGAAGTCTCACAATCAAAATTTTTTATTTCCTCTGTTAATTATTTTAAATATTGGCGCCATGATGCAGACATGCAGGTAGACACAATTCATAGATCCAAAACTGAGAAAGTTCTGCTGTTCGCAGCTCATTTTAGAACCATGTTCACACAGTTAGGCTGATTGATTAATCACAGGTGGACTCGGCTTGGTTTCAGTATCACTTTAGTAGTGTTGAGTTTCTACTTTGGGGCCTAAATTTTCAATATTGTCTTTATAAATGACATGTTTTTGATTGTTCATGGGGAAAAATACTCTACTGTTCAACCTAGAAATATTGCAATTATTGACAGGTGATGACATTTTGAATTATTTGACATTTAAGTAACTTTGCACAGGATTGTACTCACTTCTGTTGTGTACTCTATATCCTTTTAAAATTAGGTGAAACACATGAATATCTTTTTAAGATTGCAACGTGTGATTGTATATTCATTTACGACTGCATGCAACATAAATGTGTATATCTCTTTAGGACGGCGTGCAACTGCAATACATCTGTGTATGTCCCTTTACCACTTGGTGCAACATATGTGTGTATATCCCTTTAAGACAGCGTGCAACATACACATGTATATGTTTTTACGACTGCAACATATGCATGTGTATCCATTTTAAAACTTGATGCCACATAGGTGTGTATGTCTCTTTAAGACTGCAACATATGCGTGCATATCCCTTTAAGACAGGATGCAACAACCCAGGTGTGTATATGCCTTTAAGACTGCAACACAGGTGTGTATATTCCTTTAAGAATGCAGCATATGCGTGTATATCCTTTTCGGACAAGGTGCAATATATGCGTGTATAACTGTTTAAGAATGCATGAAACTGCAACATATGCATGTATATCCCTTTAAGACAAGTTGCAACATGTGAGTGTATATCCCTTTAAGACTTGGTTCAACATAATTATTTCCTTTAAAACTGGGTGCAACTGCAAAGCATGCATGTATATCCCTGTAAGATTGGATGCAACATTTGTGTGTATACCCCTTTAAGGCTTGTTGCGAGAGCTGCAAGGTGGCACAGTTGGTTAGCACTGTTGCCTCGCAGCAAGAAGGTTGCCGGTTCGCGTCCCGGTGGGGGCACCGGAATCTTCCTGCGTGGAGTCTCCATGTTCTCCCCGTGCAGCTTGGGTTCTCTCCGGGTTCTCCGGCTTCCTCCCACAGTCCAGAAACATGCTGAGGTTAATTGGTGATTCTAAATTGTCCGTAGGTGTGAATGTGAGTGTGCTTGGTTGTCTGTCTCTAAGTGTAGCCCTGCGATGGACTGGCGACCTGTCCAGGTGAACCTGCCTTCACCCTAAGGCAGCTGGGATAGACTCCAGCCCCCCCCCCCGTGACCCTAGTGAGGACTAAGCGGTATACAGATAATGGATGGATGGATGGACTTGTTGCGACATATGCACATATATTTAAGTCGGGGTGCAACATATGCATGTGTATTTCTTTGGTGCAACTGCAAGATATGCCAATTTTGGGTTGGCCTCGGTGAGTTTCTAGCAAACCATTCAATGCCTCAGGAAGGGAAGGGACTGGGGATGTGGTGGGACGGTGGAAGAAACATCTCAAGGAGCTCTTGAACCGGACCAACCTGCGGGGGAGGTGGAGTCCGGGGGGCTCAGGAAAAGCCTCGGCTATGTCCTTGGCAGAGGTTGCTGAGGTACCCAAGAATGCCTTGAGAAGACTCTGGACACTGTCGAGCTATCTTGGCTTAAACAGTGCCAGTGGAGTGGCAGGCCAGGGTGGTGGTTCCCATTTTCATCAAGTGGAACCAGAGGTTGTGTTTTAATTATCGGATTCAAGAGGAACAACTTAGACTGTGCCCTGGTCATGACAACAGCCAGTCCACATGTGTTTTGTGGAAGGACTACGAATGTGTCCCCCCAGGGAACCCTGTAGGAGTATTGGGGTACCGGTGCCGTTGCTACAGTCCATTCAATCCTTGTACTAATACTTGAGAGCTTTGTTTGTATTTTCAGCACAAAGTCAAACAAATTTCCATTGGGTGTTGGACTCCAACAAGTTTGCCTCGTCTCCAGTCCTGTTTGTGGTATTCATGGACGGATCTCAAGGTGCAGCCGGGTAATGGTTGGAGCCCTGTTTGGAAATCTCATCTGGAAGTCTTACCTTTACTTTTTACTGTTGCTTTCATCAGACCTTCAGCATGTGGTTTGTAGCCAAGTCTGAAGTAGTACATCTCATCTCATGGTTCTCTGCTGGAAACCGGTAGACTGTGCCCTCTAGGTTGGGGGTGAGTTGCTGCCCCAAGCGAAGGAATTTAAATATCTTGGGCTCTTGTTTACAGGTGACGGGAAAATGGAGCGTAAGGTGGATAGATGGATTTGTGCAGCATCAGTGGTAATGTGGCCGTTGTGGTGGATCGTAGCGGCGAACAGGAAGCTCAGCTGGAAGGCAGAGCTCTTGACCTACCTGTCAATCTACAGTCTGACCCCCACCTATGGTCATGGACCGAAAGAATGAGGTGCAAGTGACCATAATGAGTTCCAGCCCTAAGGATAGGTGAGGAGCTTGGACATCTGGAGGGATGTTGTTCCTGTTCCTGCTCCTTCGCGTCGAAAGGATCCAGTCGAGGTGGTTTGAGCACCTGATTAGATTACATATCTCATCGGGCTGGAGAACGCCTCAGGATCCCACAAAGGAACTTAAAAACGTTGCTGGGTTGAAGACCTCTGAAATGGCCTGCTCAGCCTGCTGCCACTTGGACACGATTCTGGATAAGTGGAAGGAAATGGATGGATATTGCAGTTGCACCCGCTCTTAAAGAGATATATTTGCATGTGTTGCATCTGGTATAAACAAAATGATGCTGTGTTTCTTAATGTGTTGTCTTAATGGTCATGTATTCTGCATTTCTGAACATTTGATCAACATAGAACACAGATCCAGTGTTTGGAAATGTCTCAAATGTAGTTTCAGTTTGTCTGTCTTATCTTGCAGGTTTACCCTCCAGATGTGTTATTGTTGGAGTTGTGTAATTTCTGAACATTTCAGGAATCATTCAGTTATTTTAACCAGTTGAAGTGATTTCCACACATAGGAACATGTCCATACATTTGCTACAGTCAAAATCCAGATTTTACTCTTCCTAGCACTAGTGCTACTTTGTGATGACTTAATGTTGATTTATAATTTATTCATGAAAAAGAATATTTTTGTCATATTGCAATATAACAGAAAATACTTGATTTGCAGAAAAAGGTACGAGGCATCGAGTAGTGCATTATGACATGCAAAACGGTACATCTTTCACCGTTATTGTTGACATTATGTTTTTATTTTAAACTCCATTTTGGTTTAAAGTTAAGCATTAGTCAGTTTAGGAAACCAGACTTTACAAATCTAAACGCCACCCTGCACATCAGACTTTAAAATGTGATGCTGGAGGATTGTGAAGACGCTCTGACGCTGTCTGTACAAAGTGACCGCATACGCCGATGACTAACCGCTGTCTCTCTGTGTCGTTCTCAGGTATAACCTCGAGTTTTCAGACCGCCAGCGGAGAAACTCTTTCGCTGGAGGCCTGAAACCTTTTCTGTCCAGGACAGAACACCCAGAGGATCTATTCTACACACATGTTTTTATTTAATATTTATTACTGCTGCTCAATGGAAACAAACAGAAAGAAATGACTTGTGGTTTTTTTTTATTTTTAATTTTTTATTCTGCTTTGATACTGACAATGTTCGGATGACAATGACGAGAGAATGGAGGAAAGACTGAATGTCCGGCGCCATTTGCACTATTTATCTTTTTTTTTAACTTTAAAGCTTAATATAATTTTCTGCCAGTCTGTCCTGTTTTAATCTTCCTTTGGATCAAACAAGACGTGAGTTGTCCACCAATCGGAAAGACCGGTGCCTTAGCTACGCTCCCTAATCATTGTGGCAACGTTTTCACGATCGGTTTCCCAACAAGATGTCAATCAGATCTCCAGAGGACCTGCTTACAGCACCGGGAGACCCAACTCTTTGTTTTAGGTCAAACAACCTGAACTTTTCTACGGATAATTTGTCGGAACTGGATATTTTGTGAGTGACTTTTTCAATCATCTTGCCGTCCTGTTTGTTGTATATTGTTGTTGTTTTTTTTTTAGTTTCTTTGGAAGTGAAACGTCACGCCGTGGCCTGTAGGAAGAAGAACGTCCGCCTTACAATCACCGTCCAAACCTACGAACTCTCAAGTGCCTCTTTTTTTAAAATCAGCAAAAAGACTTAAAGCCAGAACCGGCAGAATCTACTGAAAGAAAGGGAGACTTTTTGTATTCGTGTTTCGTTTTACAAGCCCAGAAATCTCCTCCAGGAACGAGCCTTTGTCCTGGTGTTTGAGCCTCTCCGGTCGTCTAATCCCCAGACTTTAGGACTAAACGAGGAAGAACTTCTGTCAACAATCAGCTGTTTTCATGAGTCGGATTACCGTTTTTCCACTCGTCTTCCTGCCTTTTTCCGCCGTCGCAGGTCGCACAGATCTTATTTTTCTATGAATCAGAAAGACTTGCTTCTTCTCTGCTGCCTTTATCGACAAGTAAAAGATAAACACTCGTGATGTTCTGCATCCGGGTGGGAAAAAAAAAAAGGTTTGTATCCGTGAAGGACTCCAAAGAGAGTTTTTATTCCATCTCTTTTTTTTTTTTTTAATCCATTTTGATACCAAAAATCTGTGTTTCTTCCTGTGTAGTCGTGTCTTTGTGTTATCTTGGTTAATTTAAGGAGACAATGCAATGTGTACATATCCTCCAGAAGACGCTTTTCCTATTTAATTTTGTGCTTTTGTACATAATTTTTGTTTTTTGTTTTTTTTGTATTTATGAAAGAGAATTGTATATATGTCTATGTTATTGTGCCTCATGTCTCAGTCAGAATCAAGAAATATATATTTTTCATAAATAAATTAGGAAAGGAAACAGGAGTTGTGCTGTTTTTCTGGCTGCTGGCCTTTCACCTGGACTCGATGTCTCTCACGCGATCGAGATGTTCTGATATGAGGAAGTACCGAGCGCTGTTGTCTTTATCTTCTCTATCAGCACATCTGGAGGTCCGTTATCGCTTTTGTTCCACCGTGAAGTGTCGCCTTCATCGCTTCTACTGTTTTGGTTTCTGTTGTTTTTCACTTGGTGGCTCGGTGGTTAGCATCGTTAGCGCCTCGCAGCTACAAGGTCGCGTCCCGGTGAGGACACCCGGAATCCTTCTGCGTGGAGTCTCCATGTTCTCCCCGTGCAGCGTGGGTTCTCTCCGGGTTCTCCAGCTTCCTCCCACAGTCCAGAAACATGCTGAAGTTAATTGGTGATTGTAAATTGTCCGTAGGTGTGAATGTGAGTGTGCTTGGTTGTCTGTCTCTAAGTGTAGCCCTGTGATAGACTGGTTACCTGTCCAGGTGAACCTGCCTTCACCCTGAGTCAGCTGGGATAGATTCTCACGTTGGGAAACTAAATCTGGACTCCAATCTTGAGCTGCTGCTGTTTTTAGTGCTTTTGGATGTAATTGGTCGATTTTATTCGTGACTTAAGTTTTGTCTTTGAGAAGAAGTCCACTGAAATCTAAATCTCTCCTGATCCATGTCAGGGATCATTTATCATTCTGATTAATTAATGAGGTTAAATGTGTAAACGAGGTCTTTAATAAACTCAGAGGAAACTGTCCTGAACAACCTTCAGCTCCTGTTGGTCAGAACCTGGACTCCAGCAGGTGTTTGTGAGTCTTTTGTACTAAAGCTGGATTTTTATGGACATTTCAGCTGTAAAGCGAATGAGGAAGGTTTCTGTTGGGAGGTTTTTGCTAAAATCACTTCACACAGCTTAAAGTAGGACGTAGACCACTCCTGGTGAATGTTCATCATGACGTTAAATCTCGTGAGTTATTTTATTAAACCCAGAGGAGGTAGTCCTGAACTACTGGAGGCAACAAACCAAACCAGCTTCATGCTCTTTATGCACAGTAATACCTATGAAGTCCATTATTTTTGGTGCTAAATAACAATAAATGCTAATAATCCCTCACTTGATGAATCTTTTTCTATTTTTATGAGGAAACGTGACTTTAATCGACATTTTCTGGTTTTATGATCATATTAAGGTCAAAATAATCCGTATTTTTCATTCTTTTGAGCTCCTGGTTGTGTGTAAAGATGTCAGATGTGTGTTTAAAGGAAGCTTTGTGAGCGTTTGGCGGCAGCTGCCCAGTACAACCAGTACCACCAGTACGACCAGCACCTCCTCCGAGCACCTGCTGCTAAGCTCTTTGGTCACGCTGCCGTTTGTGTTGGTGAAGCTCGGAGATTAAACCGCGAGCAGGACGTTGGCGCCGAGCCGAGCGGTTATCGCACAGGAACAGGCCGATTATCGGCTCGATCGGGTTCACGTTAGAAATGTTAATTAGCTGCTTTGTTGCCGTGGATACAGAAAACACCAGCGTCAGACTGGATCACGAGTTTATTCCTGAAATATATAAAAACAAACGTTTGTTTTGTCTCATCTTAGTGTGATGTTGTCTTTAATGTTTGAACTACTGATGAAGGTTTACAGGATTAGAGGTTTATAATGTAGAAGATTCACCTCAACATTTACTATTAATTTATATAATAAATAACATTAAGTTCTTACTTTACTGAGTAAATTCTAAACAGTGAAGTCAAATAATAACTTAAATAAACAGTATTATGAGGCCTTAATATTTATATTTAAATTACATTTATATGTTTGCATAATAAATATATTTATTGAGTTTTAACTGTAATATTCAAACTACAGGAAAATACAGAAGAAAATAAACAATATTTTAGGGTCTGAAAATAATAATTTAATTAATTAGGTGATTAATAATACTGTGGGGTCCAAACCATAATATTT